TCATACGTGCACGCGATGCAGGTCTCATCTCCCTTGAAAGAGTAGTCAGTGACGATCTTTAAATCTTGGTCTTTCTTAAGTTCAATCGACTTAAGTCCTTCGCGGAAGAACCCAGTACGGATCTCAGGTCCCTTTGTGTCAAGGAGCAAGCCTACCGTCTTGTTGGGGCGCATCTTCAGGGCTTCTTTGACTCGAGCCAAGCACGCTCCATGGCTCTCGTGGTCGCCGTGTGAAAAATTGAATCGACAAATGTCCATACCAGCATCCATCATCTCTACCAACATCTCAGGCTCCCAGCAGGCAGGCCCAAGCGTACAGATGATTCGAGTGCGTCGCTGAGCCCGGTCGCTGTCTGAACGTTTGGCGAACACGTCATCGAGAGTAATTCGTTGAGCCTTGTTCAAGTACTTGTTAATGGCGACGTGTTCGTTGCTATTCATGTTGAAAAATTGCGACCGTAGAAGTAATCAATGGGTTTCTGGTGCCAACAATTCTGTCTCTTTTTAACGTAGCGGCTGCGCGTCCTCTTCGCACACTTTCTGAGAATGGGTCTTTTACACACCACTTTTCGTCGGGTTCGGAGCCCTGATTTTAGGATATTGGTGATCACCCCGGGTGGGAGCATGCGTGGGCTAACAGTTACGCATGCCAAACGTTACGGAACGGAGTTCTGGTTTTTTGAAGGTTTGTAGCTAAGCAAAGTAACAGCTGTATCCGCATTCCCAACCCAAGGCTTGAGATTCAGTTGAGTATCGCCGCACGACCGAGGTTCCCGCTTCCGATCGTGATGTGAAGAACAAAGGGGCTCCAGACACATCGTTTAAGGCTGCTAGGTACCCACTCGCCTAGTTGCAGGCTCGCCTAGTTGCATGCTCGCCTAGTTGCATGCTCGCCTAGTCACAAGGTCGTACCCCGTTGCGTCGAGTCCTAGACGCCCGAGACCATCAGATGGACGCAGCAGACTAAATACCCAGGAGACTAAACACCCAGGAGACTAAACACCCAGGAGACCAACCACATCCCTGGTCGCGAGCCTCCATCACTGGCCCATGTCGTTGCAATACTGTGTACGAACATTCTCGTCGGACACCGCCGGTCTTATCGGACTCCGCCAAAAAAAGCGCTAGTTTGAGACGTAACGCTCTGTCGTAAAACACGTGTGCTCGACGGCACGCGCATCAGTCAACCAGGGGGGTGTGGTGGTTGTTGGAAGGAAGATCTGGGCGACATTCGAAGGCCAGGAGGAGCGACCGATCCGTGCGTTTCTTGCAAAGCAGCGGACCCGCCGAAACGACGTGTTCGCCGGTTGGCGGCAAGTTGGCGGTTTCCAGAACTCGTTGAAGGATAAGTTGCTGGAAGGTGCGCGGTCGCGCCGCACAGTGCGCCTGCAGCGGGGGTCCCCTAAGCCGGGGCATGATGGCGTGCTCGATCCGCGGCCAGTCCCAATGTTCGAGCATGAATTCGGCCAATTCGCTCGAGGTCAAATCCATCGCCTGCAATAGATGGGCCGTCATGTCCCAGTACGCAGCTACCGAGCGGTCCCTCTCCATGGTCTCCGTCAGGACTGTCCCCGTCTCCATCCCCACTGTCCCCTTGCCCTTCGAGACTCTCTGCTTCGGGACTGTCCACTTCTTCCGAAATTCGTCCCCGACTGTGTCCATCGGGAATACACCCGCTCGGCCGGGCAATGTGGCCATGTCGTACATGGCGCTGACTGGCGGCGGGATCTCAGAGCCTCGCAGAATTGCCGCCAGACACGCGCGCGCGCGAGCTAGCCGCTCCGACCCATTCTTGCCTCGTGTCCACGGAAACGTCGCGGCGTCCGTCTGCGGCTTCGAGTACCGACGTTGGCGGCCAACCGTTGCCGCCCACGGTCCTCGCCCGTCCGACTCCAGCCACCATACGCTTGCTGCTGGGGAGTTCCTTCTCCATGTGTCGCTGTCCGTGCTCTCTGTATCCGCGTCTCTGCACTCCGAATTCGAGTGTCCAAAGTCGGAATCCAGGAAATCAGAATCGGTTTCCATGCGGTCACTGGCAAGGTCGGTTTCCAGGGACTCAGCATCTAGGTCGGTGTCCATGCGATCGGTGTCCACGCGGTCGGTGTCCATGTGGTCAACAACGTCCAGACGCGGAGCCGGTTCTTCGTCCAGAGGTGGGGCCGGTTCTTCGTCTAGAGGCGGGGCCGGTTCTTCGTCCAGAGGTGGGGCCGGTTCTTCGTCCAGAAGGGGAGTCGTTTCTTCGTTCAGGCGCAGGTCTCGCGCGACGGCTTGCGCGATGGCGGTGAGGTCCAGGGGCGGCGGCGATCGCCTCGAGGACGCGATGGGGCCGCGGAACAAGCGCAGGTCGAGGGCTCCACCGGAGGCTCGAACGCGTGAGGGTCGGGTCGTGGTGAAGGCGAAGCCGGTGCGCCACGAGTAGACGACATGTTGGCGTCGGTCGTTCGACATCCGTGCGTATTCAGCTGCGCTCATTTGGCCCTCGGGGCTTTGTATGGGGGGCAGGGCGTTGAGCATGGCTGAGAAGAGCTCATCAGATTTCTGTGCACTCCGTTCCCAGTACTGCTCGGCAGAGACGCTGTAGCGCGAGTAGCACTGATATATGAGTCGGTTAGCGGCAGGTTTGTACAGGAGGGTTCGAAGACAGAACTGCTTGAGGCGTTCTTCGGGGACTCGCGCGCACTGGAGGAGACAGCCGTTGATCCACGCATTCAGGCGCGCGCGGCTCCAACGGCGTGCGAGGCGTTCGTCGCTTCGCACATTTGCATAGTCGGCGGCAAGCTCTTTGACCCTTGTAGTCACGGAACCGAAGGGGTCGTCGTAGAACATCCCAATCACTGCTGCCAACTCCACGTAGCGCGGGTTGCAGGTGGCAAACGCCTTCTCCTTCACGTCACTCAGCCTACGCCACTCCACCTCCGTCAACAACGCATGCAACGCCCGGTACGCCGCGTACTCACTTTCAAACACCTCGCAGTTCAAACTCAACTGCGTCGGCCAACACAGGGAAGGCGTGTACAAACGACCCGCTGACACCAAACGTACGGTCGACCTCCGCAACGTTCGGTACGCATTCTCCTTCAAACACTCCCAGTAACGCTCGGCCCACTTCCGCCACGGCGACGCCAACTCTGTCTTCATGGCAGTCTCCGCCGAAGAAGCCACACCCCGCTCTGGTGCTCCCGGCTGCACAGCCCCATCGCAACCCACGCCACCAGGGCGCAGACCGCCGCGAGCAGGGCCGCCGCGCGCAGTGGTGATCGTCACCGTCCGCGGAGGCGAGGGTCCCGGTTCGAAAACCAGTGGCGACGCAGATCCAGGCTTGGAGTGCTTCAAAGTAGGGAGTGCTATCCGGGGAGGCGACGGCACCGGCTCGAGCACCGGCGGCTCCAGTAACCACAGGCGACGCCCCTCTTTGATCTCCACCACGCGCACGCTTATCGGGCACGGCGCAATCGGACCCTTCACGTCCAGCGCCTTCAGCCACGGCGGCTGCTTCAACACGGGGGGCGCCACCGATGCGGCCACTGGAGCTACAGTCTCTGGCGCTGCGGTTAGTGCCGTCTCTGGGGCTGCAGTTAGTGGCCCCGGCAATGTC